GTGGGCACAGCCTGGCCTGGGAGCACAGCTCCCACAGGGCCTGTGAGCCCCAGCTGCAGGCAGCACACAGGCAGCACTGCCTGGGCACCACAGGACTGAGCAGATGGCACTTTCATCCAGGCAGAGGTGCACTGTGCATGCTCACAGTGCACACCCAATCACTTGCACAGATGCTCAGTGGTACATACCACATCCGCACACTCCCTTGCAAACACACGTTCAGTCCCCCATCCCAAATATTTGGATACATGCTCCATTTGTGGACACGCTCACACATGTACCACATGCCCATTCCCCTGCCTTTTATTCCATGTTGCCATACTGGAAGTGGAGCGTTTCCTTTCTGACTCTCAGGGCAGGTTAAATTCCCCACAGGGCAGGGCTGCTCCTGCCTTCAACCCATGGAAGAAACCAGGTCCCTCTGCCTGACACTCTCCTCACATGCAGCAAGCTGGAGGGAGCCCCAGGCTGCATCACTGAGTGGCGCTGGCCCAGGCGCCAGGGCGGGGGGGTCGTTAAAACCTCTGTGTCACCACCACCACCCAGCAGCCACACCACAGCTTCACACATACAGGAAAGGGAAACTGAGGCACGATGCCATGCCGAATTCCTCCTTCCCTGCCAGATCCACAGAGCCAGGATCAGGGCTGTGGCACAGCATAAAACAGAGGAGGCAAAGAGCTGTGGCAAAAAGGGTGAATTACTCTCTAACCCACCATCCTTTCCAGGCTGGGGAGCAGGGTCTCCCCAAACGGATTAATCCCTTCAAACCTGCCAGGATCCCTCTGCACTGATCAGCACCCCATGGCTGCCCCCATGAATCCCCATTTCACCTCCAGCTTAGCAAGAGCATCCAATCTGCCTGCCCCCTCGCACCGCAGCTGCATGCACCCCCGTGCACTCTGGCCCACCAGATCTAGGCCAGGGGTCAGCGCAGAGCTGTGAGTGGTTCTTGCACCTATTGCATAAGTGTGTTGTTGATTAAGCAGTTCCCAGAAAGCAAAGCCCAGGGATCGGCCTGACCAAAATACCCCTTCTGGGTCCCCCCAGGCCCAGCACTTGCTGCACACACGGCTTCTGGGCCTCCGACCTCATGTCCGGTGGGGCAAGCATGGCACCTGACAACCTGACCGAGAGGTGCCCACGGACTGGGTTAAGCAGGATCCCCCCCAAGAGCTCATGCACCAGCACCTGAGCATGGCCTGCCAGAACACCCACTTCTGCGCTGCTCTGCCACCGATGTCAGCCAAGGAAGTGCCAAAGCCAGCTGTGACCCTTGCCCGGGGGCCATGGCATAGGCCAGGCTCCAGCACTGAAAAGCTTCGTCCCCACAGGCCCCTCTTCCCTGGAGCAAGCACTGGAGGCCACAGGCTGGAGGAGTATCCAGGCTGGGGGCTTGGGGGAACAGCCAACAGGGCTGGCAGTGCAGCAAGTGCTGGAGCAAGCGCTGAAGGCTTCCGCAGGGGCAGTGCCGCGGGGGGCAGTCCGTGCCCCTGGGGTCGAGGGGCCAGCACGGAGTGGGAGGCTGGGGCAAGGACTGGTGGAGGGCTAGAGGCACTGGGCCGGCGGGGCCGGGCAGGCCGGGGTCCAGCCGTGGGAAGGGAACGACGCCAGGGCTCACGGCCAGGGAGGGAAGGTCGGTGGCCCTGCTTCCCTCGGCGCCCGCGCTCCC